TAGCAAAACCGGTACGTATACCGGTACGGTATTGACTACTTTGCAATGAACACCTTCGCAAAGCCAATGAGCAGTTGGAAAGGCAACTACAAGACATGACTATCGACTGTAATTACCATGGAAGATGTGCATTGTCAACTCCAAGCCTAGAAGCAAAAGAACCAAACTCTAGTTGAAGAGAACACTAGCCTACGTGAAGTTGTCAGCGACATAACCGCTTTGGTGACTCAATTTGAAGGGAAAATGGCCGAGACTCATCACCACATTACTCAAAGGACCCATCCGATTGAGAGGGGATTCCACCAGTCTTCGACTTTATCATTGATATATCAAATGTGCTCAAAAAATTGTATTAGGATTTATGTCTTGTAATAAGATTGTAAGCATTTTGAATGCAACTTTGTAATGCTTGCTAACTTTGTTTCAAGTGCATTTCTTTAGCTAATGAAAAGTCATGTTCCAGTACAACTTATTGTAAAACAGGAAAATATCTTTGCACAAGATGGGAATGCCAGTGTGAGAGTCCATATGGAATTTCAAAAGAAAACTGATGGTCCAATAAAAAAGGCTAAAGTCTCTTTAGTTTTCTCATGTTTTCCCTTTTATCTTTACATTCCTGTTGATAGGTAAAAGTTCTTTTAATCATAGCTCCAAGGTGGAAGATCTTCAAAAAGCGATGTTCTCCTTATTTGCTCAGATCTAGAGTAATTAAAATGTCTGAAGAAAATACTGCTACTAATTCGAAAAAATCAGCTATTGATGAAAAGGTTGATAAATTAGAGGCTACAATGCAAACTATGGCTACAACTCTTCAGGCCATCAATCTGACTTTGTCAAATCTTACTATTGGTTCTGTTTCTTCATCTGCAGCCTTGGTGCCTACAACACCTGCCCCATCTGTTCCTATTCCATCATCTACCATGGCACCCGATAGTCGTTCTAAGGCTCCCATGGTCACACAATTGCAGTTTCCACCTATTTATAAGAATTAGCCTTTAATGGGGGAGTCATCTTCACATGCAGCACAAATGTCACCTCTCCTTGTGGAAACCTCACACCTACCACTCGAGACGAACAACCCTATCTTGCCCACAACCACACCTCTTACCTTTAACATGCCACCTTTGATGGGACAAGTGCCAACTATTCAACCCACCCCTCGGTTGACATGTTGAGGCCTATTTTAGAGGACGAGAGATCAAGGGAGGTTGATCACAAGTTGCAACAGTTAGAAAAGGCTTTGAAAGCGATGCAAGGGCCACAATCTTATGGTTCTATTGATTTAGATGATCTCTGCTACTCTCCAGGAATCCAGACGAATTTCAAGTTCAAACAGTCGGATTTTGACAAGTATGATGGCTCAGGTTGTCCTTATGCCCACCTACAGATGTACGCCAGGAAAATGGCACCTTATGCCAATGATGAAAGGGTGCTCATTCATTGCTTTCAAGACAGTCTGTCAAGCCCAGCAAATATTTGGTTCTCCATTCTTGACAAAAAAAAAAGATTTGCACTTTCAAGGATGTGTCTTAAGCTTTCATGAAGCAGTATGAGTATAATATCATTATAGCTCCTACAAGGGATAGCTTGCAGAGAGTCACCAAGAAGAGTAACGAGACCTTCAAGGAATTTGCTCAACGGTGAAGATCCGAAGCAACTAAGGTCATTCCACCTCTCACCGACAGTGAAATCTACTCCCTCTTTATCAAGTCGACTACCAAGACTTTGCATGCATGGTTAGCTCCTTGTGTGGGATATACTTTTGCCCAGCTAGTGATAGCAGGAGAACCAAATTGAAGATGGACTTAAGACAGGCATAATTATGGACTTTCAAGCCATCTAGAAATAGTTAGAACAAGTCAAAATGGGTAGTGCATGATCTACTTCAACGAAGTTTGCACCCGGAGGAAAGAAAGAAGATGAAGAACCTTTTAGTCATATTTTCACTTGTCATACAAAATCAGTTTATAATGTGGCAAAGATTCCTTATAATCAGTAACCTCAATTGCAATACACTCTGGCCTTCAAGCCTACCACCTATCCTCAAAGAAGGCCAAACTTTAATACTCAAGCTCTGACTAGGCAATAATTCCCATCGACTAATAGGCCAAGGCAATTCACCAAGCTTCCAATCCCTTATAGTGAGGTGTTGACACAATTAGTGGTAGTGGGTTTGGTGGAGACATTGCAAACATACCATATTCGACCACCTTATCCACATTGGTATGTTTTGCAAGCTAAATGTAAATATCACAATGTAGTGGGTCATAGTATTAAACATTGTACAGCTCTGAAGCATAACATTCAAGATCTCATCGATGAGGGTAAACTTCAACTTGATGCTAAAGAAGCAGAGAGCACTCCGAACATCACTCGAAATCCTTTACCCCCTCATGATGCAGGCACAATGACTATTGTCGCCCTTGATGAAGTTGAAAAGCCCATGTTGGAGAATGCCAGTTTTTGGTCTCTTGATGAATTGTTTGCCACTTTGACAAAGTATGATTTGATTCAACCGATTGCGCAAATGAGCTTGAATGTTTCACCTGCAATGATTGATGATGCCTTGGTGTGTCCTTACCCCTCCAATATGAAGGGGCATACTTTGCAAGATTGTGAAGATTTTCAAAGAAAGGTTAAAGAGTTGCAAGTAATGGGATCTTTGAAGTTTATGTCTGCTCAAGAGTCAGAAAAATGCATAGCACAGTTTAAGGAAGTGGTTGAGGATGATATTACTGATGAAGTCTATTCTTATGATGAGGAAGACTATTTTGGCTTCAACAACCTCTTTGGGTTAGCCAACATGACAAATCTTAAGGAAAGGTAGAAGAGGATGCTTATTGCAAGGGTATCCATGGAGAAGCACCACAACTTCCATCTTGTTCATCATGCGAAAGCTCCAATGGGTTCACATGAGTCTATGCTTCTTGGAACAAGGGAAAAAGAATCACTATGTGACTCATGGAGAAATTTGATTATAAATGCTTTAGATGAGGAAGAATTGAAATTTGATAAGGGAGTTTCACTAGTCAATGGAAGCTTTCAGGCTAATTGGACAGCGGAACTTCTCCCTGCTGCTTTCATCTCTAAGTAAAAGGAGTCAGCCTCTAGTAGTTTTGCTTGTGACTATGTGAAGGGAGGGATTCCACAAGCACCCTTATATTTTCTAAAATTTATGTTATCATGCTTATAGTATTCCCATGCTTTCCTTTCAATGAAACATGTTGTAATCCTATCTATCATTGTAAACATCATCATGATGCAACTTTACTTGAACTTTTATTGTACAAACCACTCTTTAATGATATATTTCACGAGGTTATCCAGTAACATGTTCTTATCTTTACTTTATTATCATATGGCCATTTATTTACTTTCATCCAAATTTTCAAGCCTACTAATGATGAATCTTCAAACAATGATGCTATGTCAGACTTTATATGTTAGATGGATGATCAGACCTATAATGAAGAAGACAATGAAAGTCTTGATCCCTCT